AAAGGCTGGCTGGAGCTGGAGGGCTGGGAAGACGGAGACTGGGACCCTGAACTGATGGACGACACCGGGGCAGGGTCTGAGCACGAGGGGTCCCCAGGTGTGGGGCTCAGCTGGGGCCAGGGCTCAGGGCAGACTGCCCAGGGAGGTCCCGGGGTCTGGGGGCCTGGGGCCCTGGCCTCGGCCTCGGCCTCAGCAGGGTCAGAGGAGGCGGGCCTGGACTACCACTTTGTGCCCACTGAGCTCGAGCCGCAGGACACAGTGCCCCTGACCCTGGGCCTTGAGGATGCCGACTGGACCCAGGGCCTTCCCTGGAGATTTGGGGGGGTTCTTATCTGCTCTCACTGGCCCAGCCTCCCTCCCCCGTGGCAGGAGTTTCTCAAAGTGGACCTGCCCCCAGGGGAGCCCATGGTGCTGGAACTGAGTGCCAGCTGGGCCATGGACCCCGCTGAGGCCGAGGCCTGCTTATTGGACCTGAAGGTTGTGTCCATGGTGGGCTGCTATGACGCCGTCTACCTGCGGAAGATGACTCCGGGCCGGGCCTCGAGGACCTCGGGGCAGCACTGGAGCCTGCTGCTGGAGCCCGACGAGGTGTGGGTGGTGAGACTCCAGGATGCACCCCAAGAGCCGGACTTGCACAGGTGGAAGCTGAGCATCCTGGAACCCTCCTTCACAGGGTACAGCGTGGAGCTGGTGCCTGCAGACACGGCCCTGCAGAAGAGGGGGTTCACCATTGTCTCGTATTCACCCTGGATCAAAAGGCAGACCGAGGAAGGCGACCCAGCCTCTAGGCCACGGTCTTCCAGTCGAGGGCAGGACCCCAGCACCTCTGAGAACTGGAGGGGTGGGCCCAGGGACCCTGGGGAGAACCTAGCTGTCATGGGAGCCTCGGCCCAGGGGGAGCTGCCCTGTTTCGAGCCCCTCGACCCAGGTCCCCAGAATGGAGGGGACAAGTAGCTGCCATTGTCCTGGTGGGTCTGGTCCAGCGACTTCTGTTTAATAACCAGAGAAGCAGTTGGTCAGACTAGGGAGGCGTTTACAAACTAAGCCTTGAATACTTTCAGTATTGTTTCTTTATTTTCAGATGATGCCTCTTCATTGGGTCAGAGACGTAGGAGGAGCATTACCGCTGGTGGCTGCTCACAGTTCCCAGACGGTACTTTCAGGTTTAACCTGTGTGATTCTGTTTTTACGGGTGCTTACAGGTTCTTAAATGATCTTTTACATGTGTGCTATCTGTGTCACCCAAGTAGGAAGAGCGACTTCCGTAGAAGCCAGAGGGAAGGAGCTGTGGGCCGGCGCGCTGCTGTGCTGAGCCCGGAGTGGGGTCTCGGTACACCCCGTGCCCTGCCCGCGCTCCCCAGCCCACTCCAGCTTGGAAAGCATGACACCCCTCCCTCTTCCCCTCCACTGCCAGTGCTTTCTGAGACCCCTGGAGGCCTTGGGTACCCTTGAGGCTGGTAGAACAGGGGCCCGACATTCCAGGGCTCGACTTCTGAGCACCCCAGTGCAGATGAGGTGCAGCGGCACACTTGGGGCCCCTGCACTAGCCTTTGCTTTCGCCTTCCTCCCTGTCACGGGGAGCAGTGGCACCAGGTCTCTGTGTGGCCCCTGTTCATAAAGCTACACTAGCGGGTGCTGCCCATGAGCTGCGGTGGGGCTCCCTAGCTTCCAGATTAGCGAAGGGACCGGAGCATGGCCCTCCTCTCGCCCCATCCCCTCGAAGGCCACCGTAGCGGACTTAGCTTCGTGCTTCTGGGTTGGGCTGATTCGAGGGAGGATCTGCTGTTCTGAAGGCCTGGCCTGACCTGCCGAAGCCGCCTGTGGGCCCCAGCTGAAAGGAGGGCCGCGCTCAGCTTCTGATCCCTGTTGGCCGTCGACCCCTTCTCCCAGCTCGGCGTGCGAGTGCTTAGTTGGTCCACTGCTCTGTTACCCTACGGGACGGTCACACCTTAAGACATGAAATACCAGGAATTAAGCATTCTGGGCTGAGCAGAGCCTTGTCACACCAGCCTCACCCTCCGTCACCGGCAGTCCTGCCCTCTCAGGGACCGAGCTTGTCACTGTTGTGCGTGGGGGTGCTACGCATGGTCAGTGGCACACTTCCTGGGTAAAAGCTTGGAGTATTTAACCTATTCATCCAAAGTCCGAGCAAAACCAAAGTGCTGCAGAGGGTGAGAGCTGGGGGGTCCGGCAGCTCGGGGTGGTACAGCCTTTTACTCTCCACAGGCCATGGCCCACTCTGCCTGGGATGAAGGCGTCAGAAGCGCACGGGGGCAGCTCTCAAATCAATTCAAGAAGTTCCTGGTATTAGACATGCCCCTACCCCCACTGCCCTAGTCACCACCATGGACTTCTTGGGAGATAGCACCGGGGCCCACCACCAGGCGCATAAATGTCCCCAAGGGCGGCGCGAGCTCCTCTCTGCACTGCTCCGCATCCCAGCTCCCTGTGGCAGACGCCGGGGAGTCCTGCTCAAGCGACTGGGCCCACTCCTGACTCAGGTGCAGACCCTCACACCCACAAAGGGGCGTGGGTGGGTGTGATGGCTCCTCTGTTACAACACCCACGGCCAGAGAAAACCAGGCACAGGAAAGAGTTGAGCCCACAGAGCTGGTAGCTGAAGGAAGAGTATGGTGACTGGGGGCTTCTAGGTGCGACTGACCCAGTCCTCTGTCCTGGGCAGGCATCTGGCTGGGGGTCCGGGGACACCACAACCCAGGGAGTGGCAGGATCCATTTCTAGGCCCAGGACTCTGACACCAACTTACTGTTGGCAAATGGCTCCCTCTGGCGGTCATTTCAGGCTACACGGACGATCTGGCTTCTGCACTTCCAAAATCATCCCAAGTAGCCTCAGTCGTGGGCCGGGTCCCTGACCTGGCTCCCAGGGAGAACCGCGACGCAACAGCCTTCGAAGATGCCTGAGACTTCCCAGCTCTTGACCTCTGCCTCTGTTCTGGTCTGCGAAGGGGCTGGGTGGGGGACCTGAGTCCCTTTCTGGCAGAGCCCCTAGAGGTGGACTGAGGCTGGGCAGAGGAGCCATGGCTGAGCCACCCTGACCCTGGAGGCCCACTGAAAGTGTGCACTGTGCACGTGAGGGAGCACGCGTGTGCCTCGGCTAACAGCAGTGACCGCGGGGGCTTTGGAGCAAGCGCCCTGGTCTCACGGCCCTAGCCCAGCATATGCGTGCTCTGATACGCATCAGGGGAGCCGATGTCACCAGGAGGGTGACCAACAGTCAGAGGGCTTGGGCTGTGAGAGGCCCTGGGGCCAGACATCGGCAGTGGCCACTTCTGAGGATGGACAGCGCAGAGCGTTCACTTTTTCTGCCCGCCTGTGTTTTATGTCTGATGTGCAAAGAAGCCAGTCGACCTTAACATGTTCACGCTGCTGTAGCCCTGGGCCCACAGGAGCTGCAGGGGGCACCGAGCACGGCCGAGGTGACTGGCCCAGCGTGCTCCGCAGGTGCACTCTGAGGCCGGAGCCAGGTGTGCGGGCTCCCTGGTCTCCCTGGGTTGGGTGCCACACAGGACACAGAGCAGCTGGGCAGGGCCAAGGCGACAACCGTGAGGACCCGACCCCATCAGGGACTGTGTCCCGACCAGCTGTGTCTGTCCTGCCTCCCTCTGTGACAAAGGTGATGATCGTCCCCTTCAAACAAGCCAGTGTCCGGCAGGATCCAGGCTTCTGTGTAAGCTGCAGCCCCAGGGATGGCCACGTCTGTCTCTGCTCACCCAGGGTTTGGCCCTGGACCTAGATAAACGGGAAGCGCTGTGGGGCCTTTGGGCCAGACCAAAGGTCACGTCGTCATGCAGAGCCTTCTATCCTGGCTCCCTCCCCACCCTGGGCATCTCATGCAGAGGGGAACGGAGGGAGGCCTGGGAAGGCAGGGAGTGTCCCAGAGCCGCTGCAAGGTAGACATGATGCCCCTGCCACACTAAGCGGTTTGACCCTGGAGTCATTCTAGCTCAGCCTAAAACACCAACTCCTAGGGACCAACAGATAGCATAGTGGTTATGTCTCTGGACTTGCATATGGTTAACCGTGGTGTGAGTCCTGGACCCGGTGGCTTAAAACTCACGCTGGGTGTGCGTGTGTGCGTGTGTTCCCAAAACCCAAAAGGAGAATAGAGAAGAGATTGCAGTGTGGCTATCCCCCACCTCAGGGAGTGATTTCTCATTTTCTGTCTCTGATGAGCATATGTGCCCTGTAACGAAACTCTCTCTTAAAAAAAAAACTCCTTAACATGATGCTTTTTTATTCTTTTTCTTTTTTTAAGAGAAATTTTTGTTATAGGGCACATGCACTTACTGGAGAAACAGAGAAAAAGCAAAAATCACCTCCCAGTGGGGATGGCCATGCCACAATCCCTTCTCCATCCTCCTCTTGGGATTTTGGACATGCACACACATGTGCCTGGCATGAATTTTAAGCGGCCCACTACACGGGAATCCAGCTACGCAACTGTTATGCCATCTGCTAGTCCCTCTCTGGTTTTTTTAAGATTTTTTTTTTGAGAGGTTTTTGCCATAGGGCACGTGTGCTCGCTAGACAGACAGAGACAGAGAGACAGAAAGCAAGAAAACACCTCCCAGGGGGGATGGCCATGCCGCAATCCCTTCTCCTCCATTCTCTTGGGATCTTGGGCACGCACGCACACGTGCCCAGCATGAGTTTTAAGTCACTGGGTCTGGGACTCAAACCATGATCGACTACATGGGAGTCCAGCAACATAGCCATTACACTAACTGCTGGTCCCAAGAATTATTTTACTTTATTTGTTTACTTATTTTTAATTTGACCAGAGAGGGACAGATTAAGAGAGAAAGTGAGAAAGCAAACCACCAGGTCCAGGACTCGAACTACAGTTGGTCATGTGGGAGTCTAGTGCCCTTAACCACCATGCCACCTGCTGGCCCCTTCACCATGATGGCTTTAAAGAACTTCGGAAAGTGACGCCGTCCCTGTGGCCTCGCGGGGCTGCCATGGAGGAGCGAGGCCTCTGATAGACAAGCGCTTGCTCACGTGGCCCTTCGTAAAGCGCAGGGTCTGCTCCCCCTTGGTGAGCTGAGCGCCAGCTGTGTGGCGGAGAGGCACGCGGTTCCTCAGTCCCAGCTGCTGTGGGAAGTCGCAGTTGGCTCCATACTGTGTGTGTTCCCAAAACCCAAAAGGAGAATAGAGAAGAGATTGCAGTGTGGCTATCCCCCACCTCAGGGAGTGATTTCTCATTTTCTGTCTCTGATGAGCATATGTGCCCTGTAACGAAACTCTCTCTTAAAAAAAAAACTCCTTAACATGATGCTTTTTTATTCTTTTTCTTTTTTTAAGAGAAATTTTTGTTATAGGGCACATGCACTTACTGGAGAAACAGAGAAAAAGCAAAAATCACCTCCCAGTGGGGATGGCCATGCCACAATCCCTTCTCCATCCTCCTCTTGGGATTTTGGACATGCACACACATGTGCCTGGCATGAATTTTAAGCGGCCCACTACACGGGAATCCAGCTACGCAACTGTTATGCCATCTGCTAGTCCCTCTCTGGTTTTTTTAAGATTTTTTTTTTGAGAGGTTTTTGCCATAGGGCACGTGTGCTCGCTAGACAGACAGAGACAGAGAGACAGAAAGCAAGAAAACACCTCCCAGGGGGGATGGCCATGCCGCAATCCCTTCTCCTCCATTCTCTTGGGATCTTGGGCACGCACGCACACGTGCCCAGCATGAGTTTTAAGTCACTGGGTCTGGGACTCAAACCATGATCGACTACATGGGAGTCCAGCAACATAGCCATTACACTAACTGCTGGTCCCAAGAATTATTTTACTTTATTTGTTTACTTATTTTTAATTTGACCAGAGAGGGACAGATTAAGAGAGAAAGTGAGAAAGCAAACCACCAGGTCCAGGACTCGAACTACAGTTGGTCATGTGGGAGTCTAGTGCCCTTAACCACCATGCCACCTGCTGGCCCCTTCACCATGATGGCTTTAAAGAACTTCGGAAAGTGACGCCGTCCCTGTGGCCTCGCGGGGCTGCCATGGAG